GTGTGTGTGTTTGTCTCACCTGCTCATTTTCTCCTTCAATTCAACAGACTGATATTTTTTAACTCACACTTTCACCGATTTAAACACCAGAAAGTGCCTGTACAAACCCACAACTTTCACTCTTACAGCATTAATCTCTCTAGGAACAGTGTGTTTGCCCCTGCTGTCCCATGTGTCTTTGATTCTTTGACTCACTGTGCATCCAGACTCGTCTGCAAGTGTGTGTCCTCAGTATGTGTGAATGTCAAATCAAGTTTATTTCTAAATCACTTTGCAAGGATTTGTCATAAAGTTCTTTAACAGAAAACAACAGACAGTAAAAGTGATGCATGTGTTTGTGTGTGCACGTGTTGTACAGTGTTGGCTGGTTGTGTGAGGAAGAGGAGGGGAGGTAGCGCATTCTGACTTTATTGTTATTCCAGTTTTTATTCACCTCAGATGGCGACTCAATCCCCTGTTCACCACACACTGCCTCCTTTGTTTCCCCTCTCTCTCTCCTACTCTCGCTCTTTCCTTACGTCTCCACCTTTTCTCTTTTCCTTTCTCTGCTGCTGCTTTAATTTTTCATGCTGTCCTCAAATGTCTTATTTCCTCCCTGTCTCATTCTCCTCTGTGTCCTTCTCTATCCACCCTTCTTTTCCTTTTCTCTTTCTATTTCCCATCCATTTCTTCTGCAGCAGTCTTCATCTCTCCATCATACACACTCTTCTGCACCCTTATCAAACGCACAGCATTGTTTTTCAAACAATAACTAACTCTCACACTGTCTGAGGCTGAAACCTTGTGGAATTAGTTGCAAAGAGATTAGCAGCGTCACTTTGCACTGACTAGTCAGAACAAACAGGACAGTGGCTGTCAGGACGTCTTTGCTATTTATTTATAACGTTTGCTCGTACTTGCAGTAAACTGCTCTATATACTCTCCTCTTATAAATACTGCAAATGTGTACAAATACATTGTGTACATGTGTATTTGATTTGTATATGTGGTGTTGTATGTGCATTCATTTATAATCACAGTAAATGGGTTTACCTGTTTATACACTGACCCATATGTGCAGTTCACTGTTTGATATGTATCAGTGCGCCTGTGTGATACATTGGTATATCAACATGACTTTTTTCAGAATTGAAACCTATGGAAACTCATGTTTCCATTTTCCATTACCAAGTGGATTTTTGCCATTTGTCTGAACTGGTCTGTCATTAATTTTTCACAGTCGTGTTGCCAAACCATCGCCACCATCCATCATATGGAGCTCTAACCAAAATATTCAAATCCAGGAAAGAAACAGATGTTTGTTTTACATTCAGAATGGAATTTTGAAAGTGATATCCCACATCAGCTCTTTTATCTCTCTGCATGAAGAAAAGGTTAGTTGTGATTAAGGACAGAGCCAACACAGCGATCCAACCTGATCCTGACCTATGGAGGTCAAAGGTAAGTGTCTAACACCACACAATTGGTCAGATTCCCCTGTTTGCCTCTGGATAAGATGAAATCTGTGATTACACACACACGTTTGCACACGCACACAGGTAAGGCAGTGGCAGGGCAGGAACGTCTCAGAAAGA